AGAGTTTCTATATACATTTCAATTTACACTAACAACTTACCTAACTACAGAATATTTATCAAAACATAGAAATTGTATTAAAGAAATTAACATTGATGCAATACTATTAACTAAAATATATAATTTATATGGATTTCATCTTTTTTTTTTACTATTGTCCTTTTCTGTTTCAGGATCCTTTATATATATATATATATATTTTTTTAATTGAAGTATAGTCAGTTTACAATTTTACAATGTTGTGTTAATTTCTGGTGTACAGCACAATACTTCAATCATATAGGAACATACATATATTCGCTTTCATGTTCTCTTTCACCATAAATTACTAAAAGATATTGAATATAGTTCCCTGTGCTTTACAATATAAACTTGTTGTTCATCCATGATTGGGGGAATTAAATATATCCTATGTGACTCCACTAGGAGAGGAACCTTAAGAGCCTGTGCCTGGCTTCTCCCAGACTTCACCCCCATGCACCTTCTTTTCCCCTTTGCTTATTTTGCTTCATTTCCTTCCACTGTAATAAGTCATAGTCACGAATATGATTATATGCTGAGTTTTGTTATTCTTTACAGCAAATTACTGAAACTGGGTTTGGTCCTAGGGACCATCCCCGCCTCAGCTCAGAACTTCATTCTTTTGCATGTGAATATCCACTTGTCTCAACACTATTTGCTGAAAAGACTTTCCTTACTGATTTGTTTTGGTATCTTGCTGAAAATCAGTTGACTGTAAATGTTGGGGCTTATTTCTAGCCTCTCACTTTGATACCACTGATTTATGTTTATTCTTATGCTAGTACAACACTGTCTTGTTTACTATAGTCTTGTAGAGTGTTTGAAATTGGGAAGTGTAAATCCTCTAGCTTCATTCTTTTTTGAGGTTGTTTTATGAATTTTAAGACAAGCTTGTCAATTTCTTCAACTAAGCCAGTTGTGAGTTTGATAAGGATTGCACTAAATCTGTAGATCAATTTGAGAAGTATTGCCATCTTAACAATATTATCTCTTCTTATCCATGAACATGGGAGACCTTCCTACTTATTTAGATCTTCTTTACTTTTTTTCAAAAATGCTTTGTAGTTTTCAGGGGGAGGGTGCATGCCTAGCAGACATGAGGTCCTGGGTTCAATTCCCAGTACCTCCATTTAAAAATAAATAAATAAACAAATAAATAAACCTAATTACCTCCTACTCTTTAAAAAAAAATGTATAAGGGGAGAGGATATAGCTCAAGTGGTAGAGCGCATGCTTAACATACACAAGGTCCTGGGTTCAATCCTCAGCACCCCCTCTAAAAAGTAAAACAAATCAGTAAACCTAATAACCCCCCCAAATTTTTTTAATAAATTTAAAAAATGCATATATAAAACAAAAATGCTTTGTAGTTTTCGGAGTACACATTTTACACCACTTTTGTTAAATTTATTTGTAAGTATTTCATTCTTTTTGGTGCTTTTGTATATAGAATTATTTTTCTAATTTCATTTTGGATTGTTCATTACAAGTGTATAGAAATGGAATTGAGTTTTGTCTGTTGATCTTTTATCCTCCAACCTTGCTGGACTTGTTAGCTCAGATACCTTTTTTTGTAGATTCCTTAGGATTTTCTATATACAAGATTATGTCCTCTGCAAACGTTTCTAATCTAGATTCCTTTTGCTTCACTTTATGGCCTAATTGTCCTGGCTAGAACCTCCAGTACAATATTGACTAGAAATGGCAACAATAGACTTTGTCATGTTGTTCCTGATCTTAGGGAAAAAGCTATCTGTCTTTCATCATTAAGTATGATATTACCTGTGGATATTTTGTGGATGCCCTTTAACATATTGAGGAAATTCCCTTCTATTCCCAGTTTGTTAAGTGTTCTGATTGTGAAGGAGTTTTGGATGTTGTCAAAACATTGTTTTTTTTTACATCTATTGGGATGATGATATGTTTTTTATCCTTTATTCTATTGATATGGTATATTATGTTAATTCATTTTCATATGTTAAACTGACTTTGCACTCATGATAAATCCTCCTTGGTTATGGTTTATGTATTAGATTTTCTAGTATTTCGTTGAGGATTTTTATGTCTATATTCATAAGGGAAATTGTCCTGTAATTTTCTTTTCTTGCGTCATTTTTGTCTGATTTTGGTATCAGGGCAATGTGAACCTCATAGAATGAGTTGGGAAGTGTTTTCTCTTCTATAAAAAAAGAAAAGTTTTTGAAGAACTAGTGTTAGTTCTTTAAATATTGGTAGAATTAACTAGTGAAGCCATCTGGATCTGGGCTTTTCTCTGCGGTAGTTTTTGCTTCATGTGGTTTTTAAGTACTTGAAATGTGGCTAGTATGACTGAGAAACTGAACTTTCAATTTTATTTAATATAAATTAGTTAAGTTAAATATAATAAGCCACAGACAGCTGTTGTTTCTTCTATTAGACAGAACAGATCTTGAGCAGTGGTACTCAAGGCAGTGGTACTGCCCCCTGTGGTCATTTTGGAAGTTTGTGGAGTTTTGAATCTCACTGTAGATGGGGCAGAGCCCGTTAGCGGGTGAAGGCCAAGCAAGCCTGATATGCACAGCGTGGTCCTGCGTGAAGAGTAATTTTTACATCTGAGTGGCTTTTCAATGTCCCTTATATATTCATTTGTATCATTTACATTTTGCAATCATGTACATGTATATTTTAAAATAAAGAGAGATGATTACGTGAAAGAGCCTGGAACATGGTAGCTGCTTTAAAGATATTTGTAGGTGTACCTTGTTCATCAAGACCTCCATTTATCTAGGATATCCTAAGTGTATTTAAATTTTTTCTTAAAAAAAAAAGAGCCATAGCAAAATGTGGTATGTGGTATCATATTAAGTTTTGATAATGCTTGGTGGATGGGGAGTACATAGATGTTCATTAGAATAGTCTTTATTCTTGACACTATGTTGAAATATTTCATGAGAAAAAATAAAATGTAAGGGGGAGAGGGTATAGCTCAGTGGTAGAGTGCAAGCTTAGTATGCACGAGGTCCTGGATTCAATCCCCAGTACCTGCGTTAAAATAAATAAGTAAGTAAATAAACCTAATTACCTCCCCCACAAACAATAAATAATTAAATAAATATTTTAAAAAGTAAAATAAAATTTTAGAGACCTGCTAGGTAGTGACAGGAGGGGGATACAAGAAGGGAGTTTGCGTGGGTAGTTCTGGTCATGTTTGGTTTCTTGATGTAGGCATAAAGGTGTGCTCGCTTTGTGGAAGCTCATCAAGCTGTGCACTTATGATCTGTCATTTATCTGAATCTATGTTACAGTTCAATAAGAAGTTTACTGAAAAAGCCCCCTCTCTGTTAAATCGAAATTTTTCATAATGACTTAGTAAAGGATTAGTAAAAAATAGAGAGTTCGGATATGATTTTTCCTTTGCAAATGATCAGGGGCTTGGGAGTAACGAGAAACCACTCTAAAATCAGTAGCTTTACTGTAGTCTGAATTTGCATTTCTTCGTCTTCAGTGACAATGATCTTCAAATCACTCAACCTCCTTTACCCTTTACTTAAGTTCCCTTGCCAATTTCAATGCCTTCCACTTCTGTTTTGGGAGGTGAAGAGGTTGATGCCAGCATCAGGTGGATCTGCGGGGAGAGAAGGAGAGAGAGAGGAAAAGGGAGAGGAAGAGAGACAGAGAGAAAAAGGGGGGCAGGGTGGAAGGAGAACAGGCTAGGATGTTTGGAAAGGCCCTGTCACATTCAGCCCCTATATGCCAGCTGCTGAATGTGCCCTGAGCTTTCCTATCTGTAAGATTTTGTTCACAATGTTTCCTCTACCTAAAGAGGCCTCCTTCTTTCCCCTCAGTCTGCTAAGTACCACTTTTCTTTCAGGGGATCATTGTACCTCCAGTGTTAACTAGTACCAGACACACAGCAAATGCTGAATGAATGAAACCACCTTTAAAAATGTAAAACAGTCCTTGCTAAAACTCCGGTTAATTGCTTCTCCAACTCACCTGAATTTAAATCTACAGGCCAACAAGGACCTACATGATCTAGCATTATCCACTTCCATACTGTTAATACATTGCTCACTTCTCTGATAGCACACTGGCCTTCTCTTTATTCCTAGAACCTGGCCAAGCTCATTTCCACCTCAGGGCCTTTGCACTTGCTGCGCCCCCTTCCCTTGAAGAGTTTGAAATGTTCTTTCCCTAGATGAACTTCTGCATGTTTCCCTCCTTCCTGTCATTTGGATCTCAGCTCAATTGTCACCTCTTCAGAGAGGCCCTGATCTCCTATCCAAAATTGTCTTCCCATCTAACTAGACACATTGATATCTTTATGGTGTTTTTTAGTTACTATCTGGAATTATCTTTATTTGCTGACTTGTTAATTATGCTACTTCACTAGAATGTGAATTTCCCTTGTGAAATCAAGGACCTTTTCTATTTTGTTCACTTCTGTGTTCAGTGCCTAAAACATTGCTGGTTCATAATAAATTATCAGTCAATAAGCATTCGTATAATAATGAATACAAGCTAATATTTATTATATTCTTATTTTGTACGAGGCACTGTCCTAGATACGAAGTCACTTAATTCTCATAACACCCTATGAAGTAGGTCCTGTTATGGTTCTTACTTGGGGAGACTGAATCACGATGAGGTTAGGAAATCTGCCTAGGTTCACACACTAGTAAGTGGTGGAGGTGGGATTTGAATACAAAGTCCGATTCGAAGTTTGCTCTAAGCCTAGCTCCAAAACCTTGCAGCTCATCAGCGTCATGTGGGTGCTTTAAAACGTAAACTCGTGGACCTGAGATTCCGATTCCACAGGTGAGGGATGAGGTTGCCTGTCTGTACGCAATAAAACACGACAGCAAAGCACTATCAGATCCTGCAACCTCGAAGCCACGTCCTTCCTGTCAAGGTTACTTCAGGTCTGTCCCCGCCCCCTGCGTGACGCGAGGACCTCTGGGAGTTGTAGTCGTCCAGTGTAGTTCGTTAGCGTCTCCCGGAAGTGACGCAAGGATCCCGCCTTCTTTCCGCGTTTCCGCTGTTTCGGCAGCGCAGTGTGAGTCGCGAGCTCAGCTGGTAAGTACTTCTTGGGCCTCGTGTTTCGAGAAGGGGGACCCCCGGTTGGGGTACGTGCAGTGACGGCGAGACCTGGGGTCAGGGGTGGCGGCCCTGGCCCCTTCTCGCGGCCCGTGACTCTCTGGCTCTCCCGTAGGTCCGGCCGCGCCCGCCGCAGCCTCTGAGCGCTGTCGCCATGTCGCGGTTTTTTACCACCGGTTCGGACAGTGAGTCCGAGTCGTCCCTGTCTGGGGAGGAGCTCGTCACCAAACCCGTTGGGGGTAACTACGGCAAACAGTGAGTGGAGGCCTGCGTCATGGGGACCACTCGGGGGTGCAGGTTTCGGCAGGCTGCGGAAGGCCGTGTGTATGGGAGGGTAATAGAGGTGAGGTAGCGAGAGCGGATTTTAGGCATGTCGAGAGTTTAAGGGACTGAAGCAGTGTTGGAGGGACAACCTGAATGCTTAGGGTCCTGTGATTTGTAGGAATCTACCCACTAGGCGAAGGATAGAGTCACAGAGAAGAGGTTTCCCACTGGCTGGGTCTGTTGCATTAGCTTCCAAATGACCCCCGTGTCCACAGCCTCTGAAACACCCCACTTTCCACAACCCTTCTTGACTTTGGATTCCAAACATCATAGTTATTCATACCACCAGGAAATCCTTAATGGCCTCTCACTGTTTACAAAAAGAAACCCCAAATACTCGCTTGATAACTGGGAGCTCCTTGATGTGGCTCTGAACCCCAGCCACCTGGCACTGCAGACAGGTTCTTAAACCTCTACTAGTATCTTAAAGATGAAAAAAAAAATGTATGCACAGATGTATATCCACATGAATATGATTTCATATCTCTACCACGAGTGGAAAACCAACATCATTTGCTATAGAATAAATAATTTGAAAAATTAATAAGATAGAGAAAAAAAGAGATTGTTATCAGCTGAATGCTGTCTGGTCTCTAATTATTAAGGAAAAATACTAAAAATGGAGGTGTTAAAGCCACTGAGGCTCTTTCCTTGCCCTTGTCCTCTCACTCTGGGAAGCATTGCTTTCTAGGACCTAGTTCAGGTACCATCTTTTCCATTCATTCATTCTAGCTAAAGTACCCTTTTCCGCAACTTCTTTTAGTAATTCTTAGTGACATGTATCTTCACATAATTAATTTTCTGACACAGTAAATAAGCCCTTTTATTTGTTTCTATTGGAGAGGATGGAGATGGCCATTTTTGTATGTGTTACAACATTTGACAAAAGGCCTTAAAGGAGGCTTAGAAGATTGAGTTCTTTGTGAAGAGGAAGACTAGAACAGGATGTGTGCGGTCAGAATAGGCCTGAGTTACTCAGCTCTACCTGTCGCATCTGAGAAGAGAAATGGAGATCATTTGGAAAGACTGGAACTAGGAAGAGGGGCTAATGGCTTCTGTTCCTTCCAAATAGGCCATTGTTGCTGAGTGAGGATGAAGAAGATACCAAGAGAGTTGTCCGAAGTGCCAAGGATAAGAGGTGAGGCCATGGGAAGGCTGGGTGATGAGGAGTCTCTGAAGCAGTGGTGGGTTTTCTGGTTGGTGATGGTGGACATGTCCAACGTGGTATTGGGCTTTCAAACTAGGTTTGAGGAGCTGACCAACCTTATCCGGACCATTCGTAATGCCATGAAGATTCGGGATGTCACCAAGTGCCTAGAAGAGTTTGAGCTCCTGGGAAAAGCGTATGGGAAGGCTAAGAGCATTGTGGACAAGGAAGGTGTCCCCCGGTTCTATATCCGAATCCTGGCTGACCTGGAGGACTATCTTAATGAGGTGTGATTCCTATGGGGGTGGGAGGGTGCAGAAGGGGATTGTGGACCTGAGGCCTTCTCCTAACCCACACCTGGAGATCATGTCTCCTCTGAGTCGTTTGCCAGATATTCAGTATTTCCCGGAACATGAGAAGTAGGGAGTGAAGCAAGGAGGGGGGCTTATTTTATGCTAAGAATTTTAATTGTACCTTTTTTGGTATTACCTCTTGTTACTTATATTATCTCTTGCCTCAAAAGTGGTTTTGCACTTTTCCCAATGGCACATAAATAACGGATCTTTTAACAGTAAGTTAACGGGTGTAGTTAGAAAGTAGTCAGATGGTGTACAGATAGCAAGACTCTGAAGTTGTAGGGAATGCTACGTAGTCTCAGATCTCTGCTCCCCCTTTTTTCCCTATTCTTTTCTTCAGCTATGGGAAGATAAGGAAGGGAAGAAGAAGATGAACAAGAACAATGCCAAGGCCCTGAGCACCCTGCGCCAGAAGATCCGAAAATACAACCGAGATTTTGAGTCCCATATTACGAATTACAAGCAGGTAGGGTGCTAGAAGGAGAGTTTTTGAAGTGTGGGAACAGTGACCCCATGACTGAGACAAAAAAGCATTTGCAGATGGGAGGTATGACTGGAGAAAGAATCATGACAAAACTCTGTGGGTTGAGGTGGGGGGATGGTGTGGTTGGCAGGCATCCTTTATTCTCTCATTTCCCCCTGTCAAGAACCCTGAGCAGTCTGCAGATGAAGATGCTGAGAAGAATGAGGAGGATTCAGAAGGTGAGAGAGGAAACCCTGATTGCAAATGGTTAGGGGCTTCCTTGGCCTGGTTTCTTGGTTGCCATTCACTTTTGTTTTTAACTCTTCTCTTTCTCACCAGGCTCTTCAGATGAGGATGAGGATGATGAGGGAGTCAGTGCTGCAGCTTTCCTAAAGAAGAAATCAGAAGCTCCTTCTGGAGAGAGTCGCAAGTTCCTCAAAAAGATGGAAGTAAGACCTAGAATTATACTGAGGTGTGGTTTGCCTGCTGTGAACCATTCTTGGGCCCGTGGGGAGAAGAAAAGCCTCACTGAGCCCTAGGGTTGGGAAGGGTGAGGTTTAGCAGAGTCTGGTTTGGGAGCACGTTTCCTCTTGGGTTAGAGCACTGAACGACCTGGAATCCAGAGAACTAGATTCTCTCACTCCTGGGGAGCTGTGTGTCCCTGGAGCAAGTCACCACTTCTCTCTGGTCTTGGTGGTCTAGTCTAGCTCTTAATATCTTGATTTTTGATTCACTCTTCTGCTCCTGAGAATCGCTGGAACATGTGTCAGCAGGGAGAGCAGAGAGACCAGTCAGCCTTTCCATCTTCTTTCTTCTGATGCTCTTTTTTCCTCTAAGGATGAAGATGAGGACTCAGAAGACTCAGAAGATGATGAAGATTGGGACACAGGTTCCACATCTTCTGATTCAGACTCAGAGGAGGAGGAAGGGAAACAGACTGTGCTGGCCTCAAGATTCCTTAAAAAGTAAGAAAAGTAATAATGGTACCTCAGGCTGCAGTGGGAAGGGTAGGAAGCCTTTAGGCATCTTGGAAGTTGTTGCTGCTTCTATGGAGTCCTTTTATTTATTATTTGTTTGGTTTTTTTCAACTTCAGCTTTTTCAATTTTTTCATTAAAAATTTTTTTTATTGAAGTGTAGTTTGCTGTAGAGTATTATATAAGTTACAGGTGTCTAATATAATGATTCACAATTTTAAAGGTTGTACTTTATAGTTATTATAAAATGTTGACTATATTTCCTGTGTTGTACAGTATTCTTGTAGCTTATTTTTTACCTAATGGTTTGTGCCTCTTACTACCCTACCCCTATACTGCCCCCCTCAGGGAATCTTTTAGGTAATAGAGGCCAACAGAGGGACTGCAGAGTCAAGTATGTTAGTTGGCTGAGATCATGAAGCTGATGTTTCCTGAGGATGGGATTTGAAGGCTCCAGTATCCAAATATTTAACCACGACATTACTCTCTGCATGTGGACTGAGAGTTTTATCACTCTGTGATGCTGATCAGCTGTGTGGTAGTGGAAAAACTGCTTAACCCTTCCAGTCTTCAGCTTTCTTATTTGTAAAATGGGGTGGTACTCAACTGTGCCTTCAACGATACCTGTACAGGGAGGTAATAATGTAGGGAAGTGGCTTGCCCAGTCACTGGTATGTGGTGAGCCTTCAGTGACAGTTGCTTCTCTTGTCACTCTTTCTGAGAACTTACTAGTATATAGCAGTAGACTGCAGCAAGCCTTCCTGAACTCTACTAGTACCGTCATGGAATGAGGAAGGATTCTGATTTGGATTCCAGTCCCAGCCCTTAGTCCTTTAGTAGCTGTCAATTTAGGGTGAGTTACTTAACCTTCTTAAACCCCGGTTTCCTCCTTTGAAGTCAAGGTGATACCACCCCTGTGTCCTCCACAAGAGTCAAATAACAAGCTCAGTGATAACTGGCAGAACTATTGATGCTCTTAGGGTTGCTTTCTTGCTTTCAAAAGTTGGAGTTACGCTGCTTTGGGAGTTAAGTTCCCTAACACTAGAGGGGTCCAGGTATAGGTGTTTTATTGAGAAGCGTTTTTCATTGTGTGCTTCATGGAGCACTGGTCAAGAGCAGGAAGTGGTGTGTATCTAATACGTTTTTACCCACAACACTTCTGACACTGTATGTGTGAGTTTTTTCCCTCATATCAGCCAGTTACCCAACTCTCTGGACACCACCTGGCCGTTCAGCACTCAATGCCGTTCTGACAGTAACTAGCCAAAGTTAGCACAGACCCCACAAGCCT